GTATCCATTGGGTGTGTAATAGGAGTATTTATTTAAATTGCTAGGCAACAAGTTTAAAGGAGACTTAAGCAATTCTGTAGCAAAGGGATCATGTCAACACAATGCAAACGGCACAGATTACGGTTAAGCCCCATGTAAATATCTGCTCCAAAACCCAGCAAACAGCTTATATGCAGACAACTGCCTGTGAACGTATTTGGCCCAACGTGAGTCTCGTATTCCAGGTACAGTTTATTTGCTGACTGCTACCTTCTTCACGAACTATACAAGACCATGTAGCCCTGTCTCCTGGGATACCCCTACAAGGACAGCAAGTCATGAATCACCTCTATATAGGATTTTTATTTTTCTGCGCTTTGGCTGGGTTGGGGGAGGGATAGGCCATTTTCAATAAACGCAAATGCTAAAAGGCACGACAACAGCTGCATTTTCATAGGCAAAGGACAAGTCCAATTTCCACGTCAAGTAAATCTTTCCACTCCTGAGTCAGTAAGATTCAGGGCAGCTGCCCAGCTAACCAGAAGTTAGATTCCAAACAAGAACGGGGAAGGGATCAAAATCCACATCATAAAACCAACTTTATTTACCTTAAAATCTTGCTAATGTTTCCCCTTTAAAAGCGTTTCTTCAAAAATTAGATTTTTTAAAATCTTTTTTTTTTTAGGTCAATTTTGCATTTTTTTCTTCAGTTGTTGCCCCATTATACCAGTCAAAGAATAGACTACATTCTCTCAACTGTCCACAAGGGAATAAACATGAATCATTCCCTTCATTCAGTTCTCTCTAAATAGATGCAACCCCTTGCCGTCAGCCAGTTGTGCCCTGTAAGGAAGCAAAGGGGAGGGAAATGGACTATTATTAGCTCACTCCGTTAAAGCAACCTTCACTCATTAGTTGTCGGCCTTCAGTATTCTCAAGGCATGCTAGCGTGCAATTTTATAAATTCTTTCCAGATAACTGATAACAGAATATCTGCGAACATTCAATAGCCAAAATAAAAACCAGCCCATAAGCGTCTTTGCTAGTTCCCTCACTTTGCCACTTAGCTCCTCACCAGTCTACCAAACAGATTGACCTGGCTGAGAGTTGAGCGAGAGCTTACTCTTTCAAAATGACTCAAGTCCAAACCCTATGGGAGCGAGTTGAAAAGGAGAGCGTTGGTCTGAGTTCCCTCTGTCCCCCCCCCCCCGTGGCCCACTTCCCAACGATTACTTTGTACACGACTACGTTGCTACAAAAATCTCACTTTAATGTAGAAAGGAAGCGAATTTTGTTAGAATCATAGAATCAAAGAATTGTAGAGTTGGAAGGGACCCCAAGAGCCATCTAGTCCAATTCCCTGCAAAGCAGGAATGTTAGTAGTGAGTGACATGTGTGTATGTGAAAACTGACAGATGAGTACACTCACTGCTGAAACCACAATACTGGAGCTACAGATATTGCTAGCCATGGATATTTGCACACACAATATATTATTAAGGTTATAAGTCTCAACTGCATTAACTGATTAATTAAGGGAGGAAGGACTCCACTCTTATCTTTTTCCTATTGTGAACATCCAAAGCATTTTAGAAAATGTATAAATTAACAGAAACACACAAGTACATCAGCTAAGCAAGCTGTGGCGTTGCTTGGTCACACATAAATAACTCAGGATATATCAGCCAACAGTGGAAGGGACTCAAGAGCAGAGGATTAAACAGCTCAGCCTCTCCAGACAGAGCACATTTATCCTAGCATGTCACCTCCCTTGAAAAGGGGACACTACAGAAAATGAAACTTCTTCAGCTCAACTGACACATCTCCAGATATTTCTAATGAATAGAAGTCAGCAAACATGCAAGGGAGATGTGTGGGTGTGTCCCCACTGTTGCTGTCGAAACCTATCACCCTAATGACCACCTCCAGGTGTAAAAAAAAAAAAGGCCTTAAATGCTTTTCTAAGACCACAATTCAAATCTAAATTGCCTGTTACAGCAGCATCAGTGTTACTGGAAAGGGAGGGGCAAAAGGAATTAACACTCTGACACAGACTGTAGCCGTTACAATCCTGGGCTTGTGGCTCAGCAAGCTGATTTAAGTAACTGACAAACTGTGGGATCTATCCGAAGGCCAGAGCAGACACTCCCGCAGAAAAGAAGCTGCAACTTCCTGCATTCTGGAAGAAGTTAAGGGATATAGTTTGAAGTGAATGGCAATGAGCTGAGGAGAGTCTAGGGAAATTCTATTGGTTCCTCCAGTCATCCTGGCAGAGCTGTAATCTAGTTGCCAATGTGGTGGCTGTACTGTCATAGCCTTTCTGGTTGGGTTTTTTGTGTGTGTGTGTGTGTGTGCGCACGCAGTCAGTCACACTAACATAAGTCAGATTCCTCCAGCCCTCAGGAGGCTGAAATTTCAGGCGTCTGGTTATGATTAACCCAGGCTGTGAGTAATGCCACATGTTAGGAACTGGGGAGTCATGAGCAGCACACAACTGCAGCTGGAGTCAAGCCTGTAAATGGCAAGTTGAAGCTGGTCAGAAAGTACTTTTTGGGGGGGGGGTATCAGATGCATAAGACTTGACATGGGGCCACTGGCAGAACTCTGTGTTGCCGCATGGAAAAGTTAGGAGCCGTGAAATGTCTACGTAGAGGGAAAGAGGATCACATCTGTATCTTGTAAGCAGCAAATTGCAATAATAGGCAGAACCAGCCTTGGGGTAAGCCCTTTCTTATTGCACAAGACATAGCCACTAACTCATCAAGGATTGAGAGCATTCCAAACAGGGAGAAGTTCCATATAAATTCTCAAGGCTCTCTTTAGCTCATCCTGGTTAATACTCATGGGGCAGGAGAGACCCATTTACTACACCCATCACTAGGATACATTATAAAGATGTCAAGGATTAGATTGGTCTGCTTGTAAAGGTAGCATTTCCGCTGCCAATGTGCCAAGGTCAACCTAAGATAAGACTTCTCTGTTATGCTGAACAACTAAACCAGTCTTCAAAATTGTCCAGCACATACCACACACAGCTTAGTACATCTCAATTCAACCTATTTTTCTGTAGAATGTTTTATGTGGCTAGTTGTGATCTGGTCATGCATGGAGGCATTCACAAGACTAGCTCAGAACACCAAAGTCTCCTAAAAGTGTGAAGTCTTTTCACTTTGCCATGCAAAATTGATAATGAGAGACACTCATCCCTCTGATTTTGGGCTGACTCCTCAGCTTTCTAAGACTAAATAATAATTAATACACCCTTGGATAGATATAAGCATTTGAAGCATCAATGTTCTTTGCATTGAAATGACAGTGTTGGAGCACATGCGTTGCACGCATAAGGCTCTGGTTTCAGTACCAAACATCTCCAGCTGATGGATTTTTCAGTAGCAGTGCCAGAAAATTTCCCTGCAGCTGCCAGGCAGAGCAGCTGGACACAGGACAGTTCTATAGCACAGCTCAAAACGGTCAGAGCTAGCAGAGACTTTTAAGACACCACTGTCAGTAGTACTGCCACTGTTCATGACTGGATAATTTTATTCCATATACTGTAAAGAAGGTTGACTTGGAAGCCTACAATTTATAGGCTCCAAGAACAACAACAAAAATAAGAGGCCTGATTTCAGGAAAGAATCAGTCAATGCTTAACTATGGCTCCCAACCAAAAAAAAAGGAGGTATTTTTATTAATGTCACCACAGGCTAGATGATCAGGCTTGTCATTCTGTTGGGAGTTGAAGCAGCTTTGAAATGCTTCAGAGAAATAATAAAACAAACACTGCAAATTAAGTGCTCTTAAAAAAACACAAATATTTTCCTCCTGAGAACAATCCTACAGCAAGAAACCTCTCTACATACAATTTAAAAGCATTGTTTTTAACAGTTTTAGTTTTTCAGGTTCTGATAAATTTACATGTCCACAGAACCATGCTGGGAATAACTTGCAATATTCATCCCTACACACCCCGCTGAAAAAGTGTGGACATTTTTTGTATTCGTTTTGTTTGCTTAAATACACAGACATAAAGCTAAAATCTCCATTTTGACTAGATTGTCCCATCTGCTTTGGTAGTTACTTCTCTCCTGGCCAAAAACAAAGAGCAACAAACAGCTAGACTGTAGCTTATCAAGACTGGGTGGCAGTCACAAATTAGTACAGTATTTATGTTGCTGAAGCCTGTAAAACATTTGCTGGGCGGATTCCCATCCCCTGCTTCCTTCCTTGCTTTGTTTGCTTAAAGTAGAGACTGGCTGCGCTGGATAGACCATCATCTGCATCACACTCCCTGCCTCATGCTAAGCCTACCCAAATCACCCAGAGCAAAGCATGAAGTTACAAAAAGAATGCCTAGGACTCTCAGTTAGAAAGAGTCCTTACTGCTTCTGACAAGCTTAGTTTGCCAGAGGTAGAAAGGGAAAAAGAGACTCTCCCCCTGCAAAGTGAGCCTGGCCATGCTGCTTACTGAAGTGCCTACGCTTCAGATAAATGGCGGCTGCTGCATTCTATGAGCTGCTCACTTTTCAGGACAGCCATACAGGCAGAGTAGACAGCTGCCTGGGGTGTCACACTTCAAAGGTGCCTTCCATATCAGAAGCTGTGCATTAGTCCCAGGTCTTGAATCACTGCTGGTGTGGCTGATAGCTGACACTAACTGAAAGCGTCCTGGTACCCTCTGTAATGTCACAGGTGGCCCTGGGATGCACTTTCCGAGACTTCCACCTAGGGTAGCAAAAAAAGAGCTTGAACTGGCCTTCACACAAAGGCTCCCTGGACAATTTAGGGAAAAGCCTACCTAACATGCAGTGGCCAAATATTCCATCCGTCAAATGAAAAGATCTCAGAGCAAAGATCCACCCCACCCCAGCCTTTTTCATTTTAATGCTTCCTCTGCACAAACAGCCCAAATGAAATGCTGATTCAGCAAATGTTTCAGCTTCATGCTATGCAACATAAACAGATTTTTTAAGCAAAACAAAAAAAACAACCCATCATAACTGGCTGCTAAAAAGTATACTTACTGCTAGGAAGAGCAAGCAATACATGGAAAACGAAGAATGTCCAGAGTAAAACGACAGTCTGAAAAACAAGAGAATGCCCACATACTTATTACAATTTATACATACGTCATTAAGATTTTGACACTCTGCAATTGTATAACAAAGTTCACCTTTGATTTGCAAAATAAAGCTTCAGCAAAGCTCACACAGGAAGCTCCTTTATACTGAGTTAGGGCACTAGTACATCAAGCTCAGTATGTCTGCACCAGTGATTCCCAAACTCCCCCCCCCCCGCCCCCAACAGAGCACTTGAAAATTGTTGAGGGTAATGGATGATGGTTTAATGATTTCTCTGCCTGTTGCATCAACTGAGGAACCATTTTAAAAGGGGTTTCAATACAAGCCCTTTCCTGATCCTAGAGCAAGACATGGTCTCAATGCCCATTAGGATAAACTGGTGGGCAGTGGAAGTGTGCCACTCTCCAGCAAAGGAATAGTCGGAAACTCACTCTTACTTCCTCCCCCTAAAATGTATATACTGTTTGACTGTTAAAAACAAAACACCTCAAGTCAATTTCCAAAAAGAATGACACAATCAGGTTATCAGTAAAAACAACTATTTAAAGCAGTTATTTCTCAAACTTGGGTCCCCAGGTGTTGTTGGACTACAACTCCCATCATCCCTGACCACTAGTGCCGCTATCTAGGGATGATGGGAGTTGTAGTCCAACAACACCTGGGGACCCAAGTTTGAGAAACACTGATTAAAGCATTGAAAAAAAAATAATTAAAATTAATGGCAGATTAAAAACACATGGAAATATTTTGCACATCTGAGTAGGCTTTTAGAAAGGCCGGGTGGAGATGTTTTTAGCAGGCACAGAAAAGATTCAGTGAATGTGCCCACCTGGGAGCTCTAAAGCATGGTTCCTGTAACATGAAAATAGCAATTTAAAGCTTCCAATTTTTCCTTTGAAGCCACGTTAGTACCTGCGCTATACATGATGCCACATATGACATCAGGTGTGGAGCAGGTGGGTGTGGTTTCCTAGAAGTAGCCTGATGGGAGAAACTGGGACCCCTGGCTGGCCAAACTGGACCTGTGGTCTGGAGGTCCCCCACCTCTGTGGTAAGGCTTGGTCTTACTCTCCTTGCAATACTGGTGGAGGGGTGGGGTGGGATTGGCAGAGGGCAAACAGCTTGCCTAGGAAAATTCACGACAGAGCTAACCCTACAATTGGGGACCATCTTGATTAGTTTTCTGTTCTTGGGCACAAGTTTGCCACGACTGAGAAACGGCATTCTGCTTTATAAATATCCATGTGTTGACTACATTATAGGGGCCCCCATGTTTGTGCTTCGGTTTATTCATATCACAAACACACACACATCACGCTTGTCCCGGCACACAGACTACTATGACCAAAACGATATCCCTCGGTGCAGCTTCAGCAAAAGTTACCTACTACGGCATCCAGATCCCAGCTGGAAATAGTATCTGTCACTTATTAACCTGTCGGCTGCACACACATTTGTTTTCTCTCTTCCCTCCTCCTGCCCCACAGTTTTAATACATTAAACAGAAAGAGGCAGAGGGATGGAGAGACAGACAATAGAAAGGCCTGCTAAACATTCCTTTGCAGGCAGCTAACCCCCTTCTTCCAAAAGCAGCTCTGACTCGGAACATTCCGTCTCCCCTGCCAGCCAAGAGCCTGAACATTCATTCCAGACTCCACTCCAGTGCTGGTGAGCGTAAACTCCCTTGGTCTCCACCCTGCCACCTTTCCCACCCACCCGTCCCCAACCCCACCACTGGATAAATAAGCATTCCCCAAAGTTAAAGTACCCCACTGGTGGAAACATCAAGCCCTGACTTTATTGTCTCTCTCCCCTCTCCTTCATCACATTCTTAAAAGACTTAAATCATCCCAGTAGCAGCCATACATCAGGCCTCCAGAGCTGTCAGGATGTATATTATTGTTTCATGACAACTGGCTTCACATATTTTTCTCTTGGAAGGGTTTATTTCAACAAGTCAGATAATACAAACCCAGAGTGCATATTTTATTTTGACTTCTCACTCTGGCTCATTAAGTCTAATGTTGACACTTCTTTTTAGAATAAGCTATTTAGGGCTGTGAAGGAGCCTCTAACACAAGGATGACTTGCACCAAAACCTATTTGTGGGGCCACTAAGCAGGAAATAATCTAGCATGGATTCTTCCCATGCATATATACATGTTGAAAAACATCTACTGGGATCCATCTGAAAAGCACCATCAAGACAGCGGGAAGTTAGGATTTTAATACCTTGACATAGTCTGCACACTGGATTTTGTAGTTCTGGGGTATGTATGTTTTTACTGTAAAACTCTGTATGCCCTGAAGAAGCTCTGCAGACATTTCATAAATGTCATGTGCTTTCTGTTTAAATAACCTGAGTTTGACAGCTTTACGTTCCACATAATAATAATGTGACCCAATTATGTTAAGCATTTCAGCCTGTTACTACAAACTCACATTTCACACAATTAGAAGAGAGCAAAGGTTGAATCCAGGGCAGGGAGAAAGAGCATGAAAGTGAGAGGACTGGAACAGATGGAACAACATTAGAAACATTTCTGGTGGATCTTCCAAGCTGTTTCCAGAATAGTGAGATGGGGCAGGTGAGCAAGTGACCACCTGTCATATTATGCTGCAATAAATCTACGTTTGCCACAAATGAACATTCCATGTTGTCACAGTAGCCAAACAGATGTATATGAGAAGTCCATAGGTAGGGCATGTGAAAAACAGTTTTTAATAGAATCATAGAATTGGAAGGGACCCTAGTCCAACTTCCTGCAGCAGTATGCAGCTGTCCCCTATGGGGATCGAACCTGCAACCTTGGGAGTTATCAGCACCACACTCTAACCCAGTGTTTCCCAACCGGTGTTCCGCGGCACACTAGTGTGCCGCCGGACGTTGCCTAGTGTGCCGTGGGAGTAGTGGCGTAGCGTGGGGGGTGCCAGGGGTGCCAGTCGCACCGGGCGCAACATCTGCGGGGGGCGCGAGTCCAGAGGGAAGGGACAAGTTCCTTCCTCCGCCGGGCTCCCCGCCGCCACCGCCAGCCTTGCGCCCTAGCGCGCGCGCGCCCCCCGCCGCCGCTGCGGCTGCGCTCCACTCACTGCTCGCAGGAGGAGCAGCCACTGCAGCAGCGCTGACACCGCCACCGACGCCTGGCCGGGCACGGGCAGCCTCCGCACGCCGACGCCATCCCCTTCCCCCTTTTTTTCCAGAGCTGGGGGAGGGGGAGGTTTTAAAAGGGGGTCTTGCATTGGCGATCCTGCAGCACTTTGGGCCGCACGACGCGAGCGCGCAGCACGGATCAGCCACGACCCCACCCCGTGCATTTCCCGGGGAAAAGTGCTCCACGTGGGAGGCGCGTTTCCCCTTCATTCCCTCTCGTGCAAATCCTCCTTGGGTTCCCTCCCCCGTCTTTCCTCTCCCTACCTCACAAAAGCCTCACCTCGTCGCCTCCTCGCTGCCTCTCGCCTCCGCAGGAGCGTTTCCCTCCGCGGAAGAAGGAGCAGGGCGCTTTTGCAACTTTGCCTTCCCCGCCCCACCACGGAGCACATTTTCCTCGCCCCCCCCCAACCCCCGCATGTAGAATAGAAGCCCTCCAGCCTCCACGGTGCACAAACTCTCCCCTCTGCAACGAAGCGCTTTGTTGCATATCTTTGGTGAGGTTTTTAGGCAGTCTTGGTGCACCTTAAATCAGCGCTAATTGCGCCTTCTGAGTAGGCCCCCTTCCCCCCCCCCCCCCCGTAGCACCTGACGTTGCTATTCGTATCATCAGGTTTGTTTGTTGATAATTTAATTGTTTTAAAAGCATCATGCTAAAGAGCTCTCTCCCACCCCCAGACCCTTGGGCAAAACAGAAACACACACATACACAAACACAGAGATTGAGCCCTGCAGGTTTTATGAAATGAATGGATTCTGAATGCCTGTTTCAGTGGCTTGTCCGCCTTAGGCTGCTGGGCCAGACACCTGTTACACGGTGCAGTCCGTAAGCTGTGAGCGCTGCTACCTGCCGCCGAGACCACGTAACGACAGTCTTGAAAGACCTACATTGGCTCCCAGTACCTTTCCGAGCACAATTCAAAGTGTTGGTGCTGACCTTTAAAGCCCTAAGCGGTTTCGGTCCAGTATACCTGAAGTAGCGTCTCCGCCACCATCGTTCAGCCCAGACACTGAGATCCAGTGCCAAGGGCCTTCTGGCAATTCCCTCACTGTGAAAAGTGAGGTTACAGGGAACCAGGCAGAGGGCCTTCTCGGTAGTGGCGCCCGCCCTGTGGAATGCCCTCCCATCAGACATCAAAGAGATAACCATTACCTTCTATGCTGTTACTATTTTTTTTATTTTTTTTTACATAAGTAAAAAGTGACCTTTCCCCATCTGGCATGGTGGTGTGCCTCAAGATTTTTTTCATGAAACAAGTGTGCCTTTGCCCAAAAAAGGTTGGGAAACACTGCTCTAACCAACTGAGCTATCCAGTAATCTCCAACTCATGATCCCCAGAAACTGGTATTCAGAAGCATGCTGCCTCTGATACTGATGATAAGCAGCTAATGATGGCCATCTCATCATGATCTTGTCTAATCCACTTTTAAAGCAATCTAAATTGGCAACCATTTCTACATCCTTATAATAGCAAAGTCCATTTACTGTGTGAATAAGTACTTCCTTTTATCCTGAATGTTCCAACTTCAATTGATAACCCTCACAGCTAGTACCAGTTCCTAGTCCACTTAATATTCCTGGATTTTATTCCACAGCCTGGAGTCCCTTATTACCAGTCCTGTGTGGTACCTTTAAGATTAACTCATTTGGGCTGCAATCCTGTATATACTTACCAGGGGAGACTGAATCCCCATGGAATTCAGAGGGCCTTACCCTCTGAGTAATGTACAGTTATTGTGGCATGAATACACACTACAAATTGTGAAAGCAAGGACTCCTTCTGAAGACAGACCCTTAGTGCTAAGTATTCACAGAATTGTAATGTTTAAGTGTCCACTATTTCTTTGCAAAG